AAACCTAGACCCTACTCTAACCCGACAAGATCAGGTCAGTGTGAATTTACCACGTAATCTGACCCACTGGCATCTCTTCATAGAGTCAAACCAAACCAACCCTATTGTATAAGGTTTGATTGTGCATTGTCTGTCCCAATTATAATTGGTAGGGGTGCAACCGTGCAACTCTAATCAGTCTAAATTAGTATTTTACACTGCTTAAGACTCAGGCTCAATCCATAAACATTCAAATTTTGACAAATAACCAATCCGAGCCTGCCCAAGTCGCACCCATGGTTGGTACTGGATTTGCCCTCATTATTTGGCCTGAACTGGGACTGGTCTTACACAAGGTTCAAAATATCGATATATATTAGACCGTATATATATTATATCATGAGTTTCCCGATATGCCCTTACATACAAAAGTTGTATTGGGGTTTCAACTGGTTCAGAGGGTGGATGAACCTTAAACCAGCCCCACTAAATCAGATTTAAAAAAAAAACTATTCGATACTGTCCAATACACCTCTAGTGATGTATCAAATATTTGAATATTTTAAACCTTGATTCTACATATTTATTTGTCAGTTTAGAACTCGTTGGACCCATCCACAGCACTATTATGGAGCAGAGCCTGAATAATGAGGGTAATGTCTGCTCGTTGACTTGAATCTGTTGGACATAATATAGGTTATTTAATTATCTATCAATCTATATTCAATTATTCCTGTACATCACAGACTCACGGATCCTCAATCGTCTTTTCGAGTATACCAAAATCATTTAATCCTGTATATCAGTCTATGTTCAATTACATCACCAGAACTCTTACTAGGGCCCAATCTGAATCCATTGATAGAGCTGAAATGGTTGCTACTAGTTCCAGGATGAATGTCATTTAATTAAGTTCTCTCTTGTTTTTTTGTTTTTCTTTTTTCTTCTTTTCTATTTGGCCCCTCATGAAAATTACAGCATAGGGCAAGCACCCTGATGAATGGGTAAAACTGTAGATGATTGGGAATCCTGCAAACCTATTCAGTTTCTAGGCAATTTATAAGGAAGGCCCCCTTTCTCCACCTATGTCCTGTCAAATTATGCTACTTTTGTATAAAATGAAAATATAATAATAATAGACACCCATGAAACTGAAAATCAAATACTCGACATGGGCCCAACTTCTGGTAGGTTTAAGTAAGGTCTAGTTGCAAAATTAGTGGGCCTAGCATGGCCCAAATTTCATATTGATTGTTGTTGAAACCAGCACAATTGGGAATTAGAAAATATGAAACATGCACGCTCATCTCGCACCGGCAAACTTAACCATTTAAATCATCATGTTCCAAAATTAGTAGCCTAGTGGAGTTAGGATCTGCTCCTCGCACCAACCTCACAATGTGTCCTACCGTGAGATGAGGCTGTGAAATCAGTGTGAGGTGCATTGCTGTTTCTGCGTAACACATTTTAGTTTGATCAATACAAATCGGTGGTAAGAGATAGGCGTTGTCACATCACACGCACATCTTACCATGCATTTACGAGAGATATTCCCAATGTATGGTGGATGTGCATGTGAGGCGCTCAAGTGTGAGAAACAGATCCTATTCCGCTTGAGAAAGAAAGCAAGCTCCTCACACCAATTTTACAACATTTTCAGCCATGCATTTAAAACATCTCCCGACTTGTATGTTGTCATTCATTGAAAGATATTCCCATTGAATATTGTGATATACTGTGAGGTTGGTGTGAAGAATGCCTTGTGAGGAGCAAATCCAAATTCACAAGAGGCATCAATGTGTCTATTTGACGTTACTACAAAACAGCTTCCCATAAATGCATTTTAAGATATATTTGCTTCAACTATAAAACAACCTCAAATTAGGGCTATAAACAATTGGATCCAACTACATCTGTATTGTATTTGATTATGAAACCTCTAAATCCGCATTCACATCGGATTTCATATCTGATTTGTATAATCTTCCACTATCTTATTGTACTGAAAATGATCAAAAATTTAAAAAGTAAGAAAAAAACTAATTATTTTAAATTTATAATAAATATAAAATAAAAATATCAATTATAAACTTCATATATATAATTGGATTTAGAGTTGAATTTGGGTATTGATCCTATTGAACTCTCTCCAAGTTAAACACAGCTCATTGCCTACTGGAATTTGCAGCTCAACACAACCACTCTCTCCAACGTGGAAAGAAAACATTTGAAACATTTGCCTCAAAATCTTGAAAAGGAATGCTACAAAACAAAAGCTAGAAATGTCTTTTCATGACCTCATGACCTTGTTGTTTTGTCTTGGGGCAAGGAAAATAGATAAATGTTTATGTCTAGTCTTTTCTAATCCTTTTGAAATTTGTAACGTCACGTCGAGAGACATGTTTATCTAACCACCCAACTGCAATTGGTATACATATGGCAAAGTAAATTTTATTAAATTATGCTGACATAGAAAAAGCAGAAAAGTATGGATAGGTCTATTGCAGACCCATAAACATTCAAAATGTGAATAACTCAGACTGCATCAACGCCCGCCTGTGAATCAGCATTAATTCCGAACTGGCACCTACCCAACAGTACTTTGGTCCTATAAATTCTGACCCTGGCTGAACCGTCATTCTCCCTAGAAAAAGCCTTACATCTTAGAAAAAGCCATACTCTAAGAACCCGTTTGGGAGGGCTTTTAGACGTGCATTGATTCAGCCATGGTGGTTGAGCACCCATGTTCCAGAAAAACTACTTGGAGTAAGTGAGTAACTTCCTATTTTAATCGCATTAACGATGATCGGCTTTCTGGATTTTCATCAGACAGTTTTTGGCGTTCCTGTGTGGGACCCAACTCGAAATGCTAGAAGCCATGTCCCAAAAGCCCTTCCAAACGGTCACTTAGCTTATCTGATTATAAACAAATTACAAAGCTTCACAGGGGGGATAATGCTTGAAAGTTAAAACAGGGTAGCCATGATTTAAAATTTTGCTTTTTGGAGATGAGTCCTCAAATTTTGATTTGTAATGTAGGGGTCATAAGCATATAGGGGCAAAATGGGTTGTAAGTTATAGCAAACTGTCTTTACAAATTACAAACCTCTCTTCAAATGTGTAGAGCATGCATATCTGGTGAAAATACAAAAGGTTATACGGCCGCTTTCTATTGAAATCGGTCCTGATGATGCCTGAAATAAAAGTGAGCACTGAGCAGACATCCTCAAAGGCTCAAACAATGAGAAAAACAGAGCAAAGCATTATATCTTCCTCTTGTAAGAAGGTGGACATGCAACCCTGTACCATTCTGGTCCAACATTTCAAACCAATGTTTTAAAAACCGACCTCAAACTGGAACTGCCGTGGCCACCGGTTTTCAGGTCAGTGGTTTGACCGTTTGATTCTAATTTAAAAAAAATTAAAAAAGTAGCAAAAAAATTTTATTTGGGTCGAATTGGTCAATGGTCAACGTCTCAGGGCAGTGAGTCGCTGACCAAATCAACAATTTTTGGCGAAAATGCAAGCTGAAGGTGAAACAGAACCAGTTGTCTAGATGGTTTTCAGGTTGAATTGTCCAACCGTTCAGGTCAATGATGGTTCGAAAACCACGATCCAAACAAAAAATGAGCAACCTTAGCTTTATCTCCATCGATTTCAACTCTTTCCTCTCTTATTCACTCGTTCACCTGAAAAAACATCTCTTGAGCCAATCCTCAAACCTTCAGAGACCTAGGCTCTCTTGTGAGTAACTCAAATCATGGTAAAAGCCATTTCACTAAAAATGAGATAAAACAATATTCAACCATGAAGGATCGCTTGGTTTGGTGCCCCACTCCGCATGGACGGTTCACAACTACCTCTTGCTTAAAGTTAATACAATAGGAGGAGGCAAGCTCATCTAATGCAGATGAGCATACATTGAATCGTCCCTACAAAGTCGTGTCTCCATCAACATTTCTTTGGAGAAAATAAAGAAACATTAGAACATATCATGTTGCATTGCCCGGTGGTACAACCTGTCTAGTTTGGATTGCCCAGTATTTTAAATGTGTTGAATACTTGAATTAGGCTTCAGGTCTTGTTACTTTCAAGCTCACGCCTGCTGCAACCATGGTCGCAACAGATTCTGAGACTGATCAACGAGAAATTGACACAACCCCCATTTGTTTTAAATTCAAAGCACTAGCATGCCCACATTTTATTAGGAAGAGATGATTTTGCAGACAATGCAGACTGATTAGTGGAAGACTAATAAATCTGATATTACAAATTTGAGTCAAAAACTACCACAAAGGCATTATATCTAAAAACTGATAACCAATCAAGTGGTATCAACTGGTATTATCAAAATCATTGTTCAAATTTTGCAATACCAATACACCTGATGCACAGAATAAAAAAAAAAAACTAAATTTTAAAAATTGAGCCAAAACATCTTTAGGCGGGGTGGGGTATTGGCGTATTTCCCTTAAAAAGTTGCCAGATGCCCCATCTCTCAGAATTTAATGTATAGATGACCCTGAAAATCCAATTCGACGCACCTCATACACCCCAGATTGTAGATTGTATTTATACTTTGAAACATGATCAAAATTCACAGGAGGGTCTCACTAAGCAACTTTTGGATTGACTACAGTAAGAATATGGCAAAATCTATTGTTTATACTAGAAAGGTAGAAATCTCTCTCAGGTTTCACTAAGCAACTTACCGTTCTATATAACTGCAAAGACCCTCCTACAATGCTAACCAAACAAGGGGTTCGACTATTATAGCGGAAAATTAACCAATCTGGTGGTTATTTATCAATTCCGGCAGCATAGGTTATTCTCCAAATGAGATGATCAATACGTTAGCGTTGGTCAATAATACAAAGAGTGATGGTACTGTAATTCCATTACTAGATCAAACGGTATTGATTTGTTAGGTAAAAAAATCAGTTGAAAGCTGAGTAGCATTGGTCGTTAAGGTATGCCAAGTCTGTCATCCCCTATCTCAAAGACCTGTACTGCAACATAAATTCCTTGTCCAATTCAAAACCTCTTGGTTTTCTTTAAACTGTGATTTTCTCCAGATTCAAACTGTAGTACATTTAGTTCTCAATTCAGTAGATTAGCCTCAAAAAAAGGCACCAAAAAAGAGAGTCCTATCTTAAGAATGAACAACAGTTTGTGGAGCCAAAGCCGATTCGGAGATTTTTATGAGCAAGGTTATCATCATAGATGAAATGATGAATCTTGCATTTGACTATTTTACAAGCCTTACCATATTTACAGACATGTTTACAGGAAAATGAAGACATACAGACACTCTTTCAAGTCAATATATTCCCCAACCTTGCATCTTCATCACTCAAGATAGCCCATTTGGGAGGTTTCAGTCATGCATGAATCATCTACACATTTGGAAATGAAGTTAAAAGCCAAAAGAACACTGTAAGGTTTTAACACATAGTCTGGTAGCTAATACAGAAACTCAATCTTATATATATATATATAAGAGATATAAAAAGATGGATATATATATAAGAGAGATAAAAAGATGGAATTTATTTTGGGAAGAGGGGGGGAGGAAGCAATAATATTACAAATGGAGGGGTGCATCTGGAATTTTATTTTATTTTATTTTTTTGATTGGCGTACATGTGAAGTCATTCATGGGAACATAAGAGTAGCCCCAATAGGTGATAAAATGAGAGAGTTGCGGTCAAGAAGCAACATGTCCAAAAAAAATGTGTGGCAGAAATGTGTATGATGAGATAGATGAGTGGAAAAACCAGAAAAGATAGGATCAAAACTGAAGTCATTCATGGGAACATAGGAGTAGCCCCAATAGGTGATAAAATGAGAGAAAGTAGACATACATGGTTTATTCACATGCATGGAAGACCAACAACAGCACCTACAAGAAGTGATTTGTTGCAAGTTGAAGACGCCAGAAGGGCCAGGTGTAGATTAAAAAAAAGACTTGGGTAGAAGTAAAAAATTATTTAAATGCCAATAATGTAACAATGGATATGGCTTTAAACAGAATGGAATGGCGAAACAGGACTCATGTAGCCAACCCCATATGGTTGGAATAAGGCTTGGATGATGACGATGATGCATCAATTGCCCACAAGAAAAACAGAAAGAACAGGTGAAGAAAGCAAGCATAAAAAGCAGATGGCCACCAAGTATTGCAACACAGGTGTCCCATAAAAAATTCATAAAAAAAAAGAAAAAAAAATGGTTTTGAACATATAAAAATAAAATCCCATACCTTAAGATGAGAAAGAGTTCAAATAACTATTCAATATGTGGGAAGAATATTTTTACCAGCTTAGAGGTATTTCTGCCCTTCAATGTCATCATTGCTGCTTCAGCAAAGGCTTGGGCTGCTTCTGCATCAGCTTCTGCAGCATCTGCCTCCCTTGCTGCCTCCTCAGCTTCTGCAATAGCTGCTTCTGCCTCTGCAACAGCTCGAGCAGCAGCAGCAGCAGCCTCCTCTGCGGTCATATTTCTCATCTTTGCTAGCTCAGCATCAATCTGGGATTTAGTAAGAATCTTGCTATCATACTTCTCTGCTCTTGAAGAATCCTTCTGCCTTTCCTCCAGGAGTAACAGGCCAGAGCTTCTTCTTCTTTCTGAGAAAGCCAAGCTTGGTGCAATCCTGTACTTGCGCTTTACCTGTCAAGAGAATGCCAAATTTGAAGATTAGAAACAGAAGATTGAAGATATGACAGAAACCAAAGTGATAACCATAGTGCAACAGTGCAACACCCATAAAGTCTCGAAAAATATTGCAAAGTTTTTGGCTAGATACTACTCATTCTCCAAGTCTTGCCTTATCTCCCTTCTGCACAAAGAACCTTAATGAGGGACAAATTCCTGAGGTAACATCACAATCCCTCTTCATCCACACACAAGACCCAGAAGTAAACAACCTATTATCCTACCAAATGAAACCACCATGTATCTTTACTCACCAGCTCATAGTACTCCTTCATTCATGCATAAATAGACAAATATAATAATAGTATAATATTAATGTAAAACGATTAAGGTGGTTAGAGCTAATGAACACCCGTAACCAGCTCGGTTTAACTTGTTAAGGACAGTGTTTTAAAAGCGCAAGGCGCAAGGGCCAATTTGCGCCTGAGGCGAGAGGTGCAAGGCAAAGCGCGTGCCTTTATGAAGCAAGGCACAAAAATACAAAAAAAAATGCTAAAAAATAAAAACATCAGATAATTCAAAAAATGCCAAAATTAAAAAAAAATGCAAAAAAAAAAATATTAAAGATGATATTAATAAGAAATGTAAACTTAAATGTTGAAATTAATAGTTTAAAAAACCTATTATCTAAAATTAAAATACATAAACATAACGTGTAAAGCATATTCAAATGAAAATTTAAAAATAAAATCAAACATATAAAACATTTTCAAGCATGTAAAGCCCACAATCTATTTTTTTCCTCAATTGCATTACTTCAAGTAATGTGATGTAAAACATATTGCATTCCTGATTCTTTAAAAAACCTATTATCTAAAACTAAAATACATAAACATAACATGTAAAGCATATTCAAATGAAAATTTAAAAATAAAATCAAACATATAAAACATTTTCAAGCATGTAAAGCCCATAATCTCTTGTTTTCCTCAATTGCATTACTTCAAGTAGCTAATGTGATGTAAAACATATTACATTCCTGATTCTACGAGTCGCCTTTGTGCCATGCCCCTCGAGGCAAGCCCAAACAAGTCCATGTGCCGTGTCTTAAATTCTTAATTCTCACACAAAAGATAATGATTTTATAATTTTAATTGCCTTTCAAGTAGATATTTTATTAAGATGAATGCATGAACAACATTAGCAAATAGGGGGTTCTTGGAGCTTTGGTGAGCAAGCGAATCGGAGGTGTGATTGGGGGTCCAAGGGCAGAGCCCCTGGCCCAACCACTGGGCTCAAAAAAAAACAAAAAAAAAACGTACAATTTTCAAAAGGCGCACGCCTGGCCAATGCACAAGGCGCACCAGGCATGCGCCTTTTGAAAGTCTTGCGCCTAAGACCTAAGCGAGGTGCCTACCCTAAAATGCACCTCACCTGTGCGCCTAAGGCGTGCCTTTTAAATCACTGGTTAAGGATAAGATGAACGAGAAATTGGAAAGAAGTGTGTCGTCTGCTCAAGGCAGATTTTTTTTATTTATCAATAACTGAATTACTTCATTAAAAATTAAAAGAAAAAAGATACAATACAATCAGGAAAGGAAGAGATAAACTCTCTTAGATCTCCCTAAAAAGAAATTTACAACAAAGACTAAAACAAACGATCTCTTCCCACTCCTTGTTTGGCCACTGCATCAGCAAAAGAATTGCCATCTCTTTTCACCCATTGCAATCTAACTTCCATACCAAGTGTCATCCACTTGAATTTCCTATTTCATTAAAATAATTCCACCAACTCACATCCTCGTTTTGCAGCCAGCTTATCACTAAATGTGAATCTCCTTCAATGATCAATTTCCAAACATTCAACTCCTTAGCCCTTATAACACCTTCCATTACGGCCAAGATTTGAGCCCTCAAAGAACCACAAACACCAATTGGAGCTGAAAAAAAGGCTAGAATTACACCTCCAATGCCTGAAGGACTGAGATTTCTAATGCAGGAGCTGAAGAATCAAATTTGGAATTTTCTAAAATTTTCTATAGTTTTGTATACTTGGACAGTATGGGTATTTTCATCATTTTAACTAGTCTTGTGTGGGGCCAGGGCTATAACATCTTGTTCCTCTAATTTAGTAGGGCTTATCTTTAATAATGCAGGAGCTGAAGAATCAAATTTGGAATTTTCTTAAATTTTCTATAGTTTTGTATACATGGACAGTATGGGTATTTTCGTCATTTTAACTAGTCCTGTGTGGGGCCTGGGCTATAACATCTTGTTCCTCTAGTTTAGTAGGGCTTGTTTTCAATTTTCAGTTTATTTGCATTAGTAGATAGGTGTATTCTCTTCTTTCTAAAGCTAGTGAATAAATGAATGAATGAAGATTTCTTTAGAGCAAGTTCTGTATGGAGTGATTCCTACAAACCCTAGAGTGATTCTAAGACCCCTTGGAGTGATTCCTTGGGATTTCCCTCTCATTTCTCTTTCTCCACCCCTTCTCCTCCCTCTCTCTCACACACACTCTCTTACTCTCTTTCTGTCTTGTGATAGTCTGTTCCAGCCCTACTGCATCAGTTTTGGTATCAGAGCATCAGGTTTCAAATGGCTCATTACCATGGTAGAAACATGAGAGGAAGATTAAGTGAACAAGCTAAAGAAGAGTTGTTGCTTGCACTTATTAATCAAGTGGACACCCTAGAAGCTCAAGTCAAAGTGTTGATGGAAGAACAAGTGTTCCACATGGAGAAACTGATGCAGTAGGGCAGGAACAGACTATCACAAGACAGAAAGAGAGAGTAAGAGAGAGAGAGAGAGAGAGAGAGAGTGGGGAGAAGGGGTGGAGAAGGAGAAATGAAAGAGAAATCCCAAGGAATCACTCTAAGGGGTCTTAGAATCACTCCATACAGAAAACTTGCTCTAAAGAAACCTTCATTCATTCATTCATTCATTCATTACCTTCAAAAGGAAGAGAATACATCTATTTATAGAGTGACATGTGTGGCCCGGAATAATGTTCACCATAATTACAAAAATGTCATTCCTTGTCTTGTGCATCAAGAAACACAATAACTTTCTATCTACTAATGCAAATAAACTGAAAATTGAAAGACAAGCCCTACTAAACTAGAGGAACAAGATGTTATAGCCCAGGCCCCACACAGGACGAGTTAAAATGACGAAAATACCCATACTGTCCAAGTATACAAAACTATAGAAATTTTAAGAAAATTCCAAATTTGATTCTTCAGCTCCTGCATTAATTTCCTTCACTACTACCATCAACTTTCAGTTTAATGAAGGCACCAACCAACAGGGACCAAGAACACCTGATAACAGCAGCATGAGGAGCTGAGTTTGCCACTTCCCACACAGGTCATGAGGATTGGATTCCTCTATCAGTAAGGTCAACTTAATAGATTTTGCCTGGTGAAGCTAGGTTGAAAGGATTTCCAATTGAGAGTCTGAGCATTCCCATCTTTCCAGCAATTTTATCTTGGCATCTTGTAATTGCATTGACTGAAGCTTATACCTTGTGAAGTTTGGAAAGTGAATCTCTAATTCAGATGAACAGTTGCTTGGTCATCAAGTCCAAACGAGGCATTTTAGATTTTTTGGGGGGAACACTAGGTGGACTTATCTTGTGAAACTATGCCTAGATCAATATTGGACCACTACTCCATAGTGTTAGCTCAAGAGAATTTAGTTGGACCAATCCCTTTGCATTTTGAGAATATATGGCTTATTCACCCTTCATTTGTTAGAAAAATCAATGATTGATGGGAGGAGAAAGTTGAAGCCAGATGGAAGGGATAGAGATTCTGCAAGAAGCTTCAGTAGTTGAAAGGGAGCCCAAATCCTATTTCCAGAAGGGTCAAGACTAACAACATCTAAGGCAGTAAACAAATCATGAGGTTATGGCTAATCAACTGGATAGTTTTTGGAGGCAAAAGTCTCATCAACTTTGGTTGGACCAGAAGACCGAAATACTTCCTATTTCCATAAGAGCCTCTACTGCTGATTTGTCTAGAGTGAGTGAGTGACCACTCTTTTTACCCCCAATTATTTGTCAGGAGAGGAAAATTTGATGTTGACAGCTATACCAACTCCGGAGGAAGTCCATCAAGTCCTTTTCAGTATAGGAAAGCTCAAATCCCTGGGGCCTGATGGTATGCCTGTTCTCATCTATCAAAAATTTTGGGTTCTTATGGGAAGTGAGATCGTAAAATTTGCCCAAGAATTCTTTGCCAATAAAAATTACCTTTTTTTAAAGAATCAAGATTAAAAAAAAAAATGTGCTAATTATCTTAAGTCTCATACATGGGGTTCAGGGTACCTGGCCTTAAAGTTAGATATGGCTAAAGCCTACGACTTCTGTTGGCCATCCTCTCAGCTTTAGGTTTTTCTCCTGACTTCTGTGCCATTGTTAAGGAACGTATTTCCTCTGTCTCCTATTCTGTGCTGATTAAAGGCATCCCAAAAAGATACTTCTACCCTTCTAGATGTCTCAGATAACCTCTTTCCCCCTATCTTTTCATTCTAGCTATGGAGGGTTTCTCTCATATGATTTGTAAGGCTGAAGAGGAAGGATTAATTAAAGAAAACAAATTTTCCAGAAATACCCCTTTTGGTCTTTCATTTTGCAGACAACGTCATGCTTTTCTTGAGGATGCATAAGGATGAGCTGGATAATTTAAAAATTCTGCCTAGCCAGGCCTCCTGTCTAGCAAGAACATACACCTGAGATGCCAAAGGATGATCCGACGACAATTACACATAGGCAATCTTTCTCCTCCCTCTAAGTACTTGGGTGTCCCAATCATCTGGAATAGAAGAAAGCATGATTCTCTAGATTTTGTCATCAATAACTTAATAGCCAAGTTAAGCCAGTGGAAGGCTTCTACCCTCCCACAAGCTGGTAAACCAGTCCTAATCCAATCAGTTCTCCAATCTTCCCCTATTCATTGTATGAGTGAGTATCATGAGTTTCCCAGCTAAAACAACTGATCAAATACAAAACCATGAGGGATTTTTAGTGAACTTTACTTAAAATAGCCATAAATTTCAGTGGTGTTATTGGAATAAATTTTGTCAACCAAAAAGTCTTGGGGGCCTAGGATTCAGAGTCACTAAGAAGCTAGTTTGGAGGTTCCTTACTGAACAACATTCTCTTTCTGCTTTGCTGTAGAAATCCAAGTATGTACTGAAGCATAAGTATTTCCCCTTTCTCATTAAATCCTCTGCTCCTTTCAGGAAGTCTGTTGCCCTGATTATTAGGGAATTTCATAAGGAGGTACGGTATCTGGTAAACCCCTCTTCTCATGAAGGGATCCACCACCTCCCTTGAATCAGACAAACTGATACTTTTACATGTTTCCACAACCTGCTCCCCGCTCTTCTTATTCTATCACCTTTGAGGAGCTTATGGACCAGTAAGGTAACTGAAATCACAAACTGCCTTATCAACTTTTCCAACCTGATATCGTCATTCAGATTCTTAATACTTCTATTTACCTTCTGAATCATCAGTTCTTTGGGTTTGATGTCCAGGTAAGAATGGAAATTTTACATCCCAACAAGAACACCTAGCCATTTGGAAGTTACTGGTTCCTCCTCGCTATCATTTGTTCCTTTGGAGAGTTATTAATGGTTTTCTTCCAACTAAAGATAGACTAACCTCGTATTTGACTGAAAATCTGTGCTGTTTGTGGCTTGTGCCACCAAGAGATAGAATCTGCTGCGCATTTATTTTATGACTGGTTGTTTGTTTCTAATATTCTTTTTGCTTCAAAATGGAATCTTATACTCTCTAACATTTTCCGTGGTTCCTGGTTTAATTGTTTTATAGATTTAGCCCGAACCTTTAAAAGTCATTCGGATTGACAGAAATTATTAAGTTGGTTGGCTATTCTGTCTATTATATTTGGTTAGCTCATAATGAACTCATTTTAAAGATCATATTGTGAAACCCAATTGGATTCTCAACTGGGTTAACTCTTTGTTTAACTCCTTCCCAATTACTTTGAAGAATTCTTTGGCTCCAAGACCCCTCCTGTTATAGTGAGTGACCCAGGTCCCTTTGTATCGACTGTTTTCAGTTTCAGTTATACTATTTACGGATGGGGGAACCTCCTCCGCTAATGCCAGTTCTTATGGTGTATTGTGCTTTTTCTCGCCATACTTGTCTTATAGGGGCTTATGGCAGCCATTTTGTAAGCTCAGGGATGGCAGATGAAGCTGAACTCATGGCGGTCTATCAAGGATTAAAATTTACTGCTCAGAACTGCTGGGAACACATTTTGATTTGCTTAGATAGTCAAGATGTAATCCGTGCACTTCAAGGAGAGGGTAACTTTTAATATCATCAAGGGATTCCGCTTCTGGAACAGTTTGTATCTTTTAATATCAAGTAATATAGTTTGTTTATGCATCAAAGAAAAGGCTGTAAACAAATCCAATAAGGAAGCTACCTCTCATTCCCTAAGTACACATCTGAGCCCCAGGTCCCAAGCAACAGCGTTTGGAGAGTTTACAATGAATTTAGATGCAAGAGCACACTTGTAGGTAGAGAGGGCACACAAAAGAAGAAAATATGTACTTGAACAAGGACCCTCCCTAGTCACATATCCTCCCAGAATAAGACTTTGAGACCATTCCAAGCATCATATCTAATAAAGTTGATAAAAGTAGACAAAACAGTGATGATAGGTCTTCATGGGAAGCAAAGGAATCCCTACACAGAAATTAGCATCCTAACCATTTCTATACAAACCCATGAATGCTTGTGCCACAGCCTATCCTATTCCAACGGAAACCTCCCCCCCATCTCCTTGCTCCTACTCATTATGTCCCATCTTATTGGATGATCCTTCCTGGAATCAACCATCTCCCAAAGAAAGGAACAAGGAGATGGTAATTGAGTTCATCACAATTAGGGTAGCAAATTGGACCAAAACATTGGATGTCTTCTCACCTTTTACAACAGATGACATTATCAGGAAGATGGGAGAACCTCATCTGAAAAGGTTGTGGTTCAAAAATGTTGGATACCATCTGAGAGGGGTTTCATAAAGTTTACTTTGATGACAGCAATTTTGGAAAGAGGGGTCTTTAGAGATGAGGATAGTCAGGTAATGGCAATGTTTTCTGCCCCAGTTGGAGTAGGAGACTACAAGAGGAGAGCTCTTGGCTGTCTTTAGGTATTGCAGTGGGCAAGAGAAATGGACATGAATAGAGTTTTAAAGTGAAATCATTAGGGGGAAGTAATAGAGACTACTCGCCAGAAAGGTACCAACCAGCTGGTTGGTAAGGTCTCCTGCTGGTCGTAGTGGAGACTTGGGATCAAATCCCGCCTGCACCTAGGTTGGGGGATGGGCTACCCCCCCGGTTGTGTAGCCCTTCAAAAGAAATTAAAAAAAAAAAAAAAAAAAAGAGACTACTCTCCAGTCTCCATGGGGTGTACGAAAGCTATATGCATATCCTTTGCAGTCTATAATTAATAAAATTCATGTTAATTATAAAAGAAGTGGCACTTCTGAACCCTCACTATTCCTCTTTCTTTCATTTTCACTACATGATCTGACCACTTTGTCTTACCCCAATGGTCCAACGTTCTATCTAATATAGTAATAAGGCATTTCTGATCTTCTCATCTTATGATTAGAATAAAATTCTCCCTTCGGTTTTATTGTTGTGTGTCAATTATGTAACAGACCAAGAAACTTGAGAATATGAAAGAAAAGGAATTTTGGAAAGATGTATACCAATATATCAAAAGAATGGTATGACTAGCAAAGTTTCCTGTTCCTGCACATGTAGTAATCAATCATGTTGCTTGAATGCTAAATTCCTAGGATTGCCGTACATGATTGACAATCAAGAAATTATGTGACTTTTGGCCTACCTTCATGATAAAAATGTACGATAAGATTGCACAAGCTTGATTGGCTATCAATCACCTAAAGCAGCATGCAATTGGTATTCAAGAAAGATCATTTCCCACATGGAAACCAATCAATTTTCCTAGAATCATTCCTAAGAGATATGGTGCACGAATTATTACCTTAATTAATTTTCCACTTGCAGTCAAATATTTCAACTTTGCTGACAATAGCCTTTTGAAGTTTGGTGGTGCCCAGTATTGATCCTACATAATGAAAATGAAAAAAGGTTACAAAATAATGAAAATCAATAAAGGGTGGAGTTGCATGCTGTGCTTCATGGACTACAATGGGAAAGAGAAATGAATTGACTAATCTAATCTAATCACATAGGGTAACTCTGAGGCTGTAACTGCGTGGTTGAAAATTAGTGAGAAGGCGGGATAGGCTTTAGGAATGAAGTTAAACAGATCAATTGGTTGGTAAGGAACATGAATGTCAAAATACAATGGGTTCAACATTCTGCAAATGGAATGGCTGATAATTTAGCAAAGCAAGGGGCTTTTACAAATCAACTGTATTGGGCTTGCCTATAATCTGTGTATCTTACCAGGGGTAGGGTAACAATCGCTACCCCACTCAGGTTGTTTGTAGTGCATTGTAATATTTCTGATATCTCATAATAAAAATGTTCAATTGTTTATCAAAAGAAAATAATGAAAATCAATAACAGTTAGACATTAGAACTGTTTTAAAAACAATTAAGATGATGAGAAGCATTTCATTTATAGGAAGAACAAGTTGAAACACTTGCTATGAAACTTGAGTTAAACATTGCATATAGTCTCCATTAAACTTTAATATAAGAGGATTTACATTGGTATTTATCAAGCTTGACAAAACAATAAATTTAATTAGTCGTGTGAGGGCAGAGATTGATCAAGCAATGGTAGACCAAACTTGTATTCTATCACCATCCTTATTGAGCAGGTTCAAAAAAAGGTCATTGTGCAGAGAAGCTTGGATAAAAGAAGGTGGGGTGGTTTAAATGTGAAGGCTTCAATGCAGAGGGAAGGTTTGATGTTTAAAAGGGCTCTTTTATGAAAAAGTGTGAGAAGAGGAAAAGAAGGGAAAGACATGTGGGAATGGGTGGTTACGAGATTTGTGAGAGATGAGGGTTCAAAGTCCTTGGGAGATAGAGTGGTTCCAGTTGATTTAAGGGATATACTCCGATTACAAAATTGAAGTCAATTCAACTTGTCATGTACAAAGTTGAAGCCTTTTTTTAATTAATAATCAAAAGAGATGAATACAAGAGAGAGTTCATCGTACAAAAAGATTCTGTACATATGAACACCATTAGGGCTCACCAAAAAAAATAGCATTCAGAAAAGAAGAAGAGAGAGAGACATCCTTAAAGAGAAGATTGATAGACAGTCATGATCCCAAGCTTCCAATGATCTGATTAATCAACATCTCTTAATTTTGCTTTTGATCAAACACTCTCCTGTTCATTTCACCTCAGACAGCCCAAATTACAGCCAAAGGAATTGCTGCCCATAAAATCTTCCCTTCCTTGAACATGCCTCCAACCTTCCAGCTTTCAAAAAGGAGCTTCACTGACATAGGCATACAGATTTGGAGGCATATGGCTTTGAGAAAATAAGACCAGAATATTGAAGAGAACTTACAGTGAATGAAGAGATTGTTAGAAGTCTCTGGTTCTTGGTTGCAAAGCACACACCTTAAATCAGGCAACACCAATCCTTTTTTGATCAACATGTCCTTTGTGAGACATTTCTCTTTGGCTGCCAACCAAGATAAAATTTTGATTTTCGAAGGGGCAACCCCCACCCCAAATTGCTAAGCTAGGGAAAGAGCTGGTGTGCCGATCTCAGGCCTTTGTAAAAAGATTTGATTCAAAAGGCACCTAACTTTGACCATTGCCGTAACCGTTGATCTGGCAGTGGTGAATTTAATCTTAAATTCTGTAATAAGGAGAGCAGTTCAATTATTTGAGCCAGTTCCCAGACATTAAAGTTTCTTCTAAAAGAAGGGCACCACAGCACTGAATCTCCTTGCAGGTGTAAGAAGCAGAAACTGAAATCTCTTTATCAGAAGCCAGCGAAAACAAATCAGGGAAGACTTCCATTAAAGGCACATCCGCAAACCAGTTATCCTTCCAAAACATTAGTCTGCCACCCTCTCCTGCCTTGTATTTAATCCCCTCCAGAAAGTGGGGGTAAGCTTTGCAGATGCCTCTCCAAACACCACAGCCATAGGGGCAATCAGAATTGGCTATGCACCCCACCCATTATTGAGGAACCCATATTTTTGTGCAATGATTTTCCTCCACAGATCAAATTTGGAGCCATTTTCATAGGCACATAATCAGATAATCCCACAAATAGCAGCAAGTGTGGGGTATGACCATGGGAATGTCTGTGCCAGATAGCTCAACAGTGGTGGAGATTGAAATCAACCAAACCAGTGGAGTTCAACAAGTCAAAGTAACTCTCCAATTCAGGCAGTTTTGTTGAAATTGTAGAAGGAAAGTTGGGCATAGACTTGGGTAGAAGAAGGTCTGGAGTAAGTGAGGAAGGAGTGATGCAAGAGGAGGGAGTTAGAAGCAAAAGATATCTGGATCTAAAAAGATAAAATCGTTGGATGTGATAAGACCCAGAAAGAAGAATGATGTTAATGAGTCAAGTTAATTTTTCGAGAAAAATACGGTGTTAGAATTGGAAAAAGGAAATCAATAAGGAATTTAAAGAGGTGAAAAAGCTTAAGGAAAACTCTCTAGCAGTCAATAGATTTAGAAGGAAGAGAAAGCATCGAGAGATTAAGTTTTCAAATGTCTACACAAGATTCAAAAGGGTCACCTTGGAATTGGGCCAAACAAGAAGACACAAAAACATAAAAGGTTTGTAAAGAAGAAATATAAAGCTCCCAACCTGGCTACATTGGGTTTTGAGGGCATTCTCTTGTGGGAACAATATGGTTTTATGCATTCCAGCTTTTTCTCTGTATGGGTTTGGGTATCCTATTAGAATTTACTGTCCTGATAGTTATTTGCCAGGGATCAGGTTGTTTGGCTTTGGGTGTTTTTTTTTTCTTTTTATTTTATTGGGTAGAGGGTAGGGATTCTTGTTATTTTATTGAGTTGACTGTTTTGTCAAGGAAGTAAAGCAGGGTTAGGAGTCTTCTTTTCTGTTCTTTCAAGTGATCTCTTGTCACCTTCCTTGTATTAATTTCTTTTTCTTTTAGTAATTTTTATTTTATTAGCAAAATATCTAAAAAGATCAAACCAAGGGTATCTAGCACATATGACTAAGATCAAACCAAGGGCAGTTGGCACATATGACTAAGGCCTTCCCCACTTGAAGGAGTCTTTGAGGGGTGGGGCCAAGTAATAAATTCAAAAGACTGTATAAGAGGAAAAGGGCGACAGTGAAAGTAAAAGATAATCACAAGGGGAGGTTGGAAGTTTCATCATCCAAGACAAATCAAGATCGTTCAGAATAGGGGGAAGTTAACCCTTTGAAGGAAATAATTCGGATACGTAGAAGTGAATGTTCGAAGGGGAAAGAGAGTGGTGACGACTAGATCATTGATCAATCAAGACCTGTAGAAAAGAAATTAGTAGGGGTGTTCACAAGAAAAACCAAATTGATCTGATCCAAGCCGACCCGGTTGGTTTCTCAAAACTTTTGGTCATTCTCGGTTTATAAATATAAACAACCCAATTGGTCGGGTTGGTTTCGGTTTTCAAATCGGAAAACCAAAACTAACCCGAACTGAACCGACTATGGCTAGTGGAGTCTAATACTTCTGGTTTTGGTATAGAAACAATAGGACTCCCTCCATTTTTAAGACTGTATACAATACTCGTTACAAATATAGACAGTTGGGCTCCACTTTAGTTATTACTTTTTTTGCATTAGTCTTGAAATTGGATACGGTTGGGCTCCCCTTCATTCATTACTTTTTTGCAATGTCTTGAAGTTGAAGAGACTAACACAAAAATGGCAACTATCTTTTGGTTTGGGGTAATATAGAGGCAGCACTCAACAGCCCATATGACTTAGAAAAAGATGGTGTTTGACTCAAACACGCAATGAGCCAAATCAGCCAATGAGAGTCATATACAATAGGAAAAGGAGACTAAAAATCAATAAATCACCTAGGATAACCAATTGACCATCCCCAAACCGGCCCAACCAAACCAAAAAGTCGTCCCTTCATGTTTGGGTCACTTTTCCCTTATAACCAGTCGGTTTCGGGTTACTTGTTTATCAAACTGACCAGGTTGGTTCGGTTGAGCAAGAAACCTACAACCGACCCAAGAGGAATTAGGCAAGGGGATCATTTTCCAACCTTAAGAGGAATTAGGCAAGGGGATCCACTCTCTCCTTTTCTCTTCACATTGATTGTTGATGTGTTTGGGAGACTCATAGAAATGGCAGATTCTAGAAGCCTAATAAAGGGATTGAGGGTGGGAAGAAAACAAATAGCGATTACTCACTTATAGTTTGCTGATGATACTATTCTTTTTTGTGAAAAATGTGAGATTAGCCAAGTGAGGAACTTGAAAATCGTGGTGCAAATCTTTGAAAGACTGTCCAACCTGAAAATCAATATGGATAAGAGTTGCTTGTTGGGAGTGAATATGGAGGAAAAGGAGATAACAGAAAGTGCAGGCATCTTGGGTTATACTATGTCACAGTGGCCTATGACTTATTTGGGGTTACCTTCAGGAGATATCCAAGAAGGAATAATTTCTAGGACCCTGTGGGGTACAACGGTTCACCAAGAGGTTGGCATTGTGGAAGAGTAATCATTTGTCCCTAGGAGGAAGAATCACTTTAATCAAATCTACTTTAGCCAATCTACCTATTTACTACTTATCGGTGTTTGGAATACTAGTTGGGGTAAGTAAAAGCATAGGGAAGGGGAAGCTGATGAGTAATTCTTTGTGGGAGCAAGGGATGACAAGAAAGATCATAGGGTAAGTTGGGAGATGGTGTGTAAAGTAAGAGATATGGAGGATTAGGTCTTGGGAACATATAGGAGTGAAATATGGCATTGTTGGGGAAATGGTTGTGGAGACTGCCAATTGATAGAGGTAAGTTGTGGGCAAAGGTAATAGTTAGCATCCATGGATTTGCGATGGAAGGTTGGGACTCTAGAACTTCGGCTAAGGCTACAAGAGTTTCTCATTGTAAATCCATTTGTGATATTTTGCCTCTCTTTTCAGGAAATATTCAGGAGTGGAATGTGGTTGTGCTTGCAAAATGGCTTTGGAGGTTGCATTGATAGGGACAAGCTATGGGTGAAAATGATTATCAGTATTCATGGTCTTGCAGCTAACAGTTGGGATGTTGGTGTGTTGGCCAAGGCTACAAGAGCTTCCCCTTGGAAGTCTATTCATGCCATCCTTCCTTCATTTTTACCGTTTGTCGAGTATAACCCTTGCTCTGGTAATACTGTTAAATTTTGGAGCACTTATGGTTGGGTAATGCAACTCTCAAAGAGCAATTTCCCTCAAGTTTTGCAATTTCAAACTAGAAGAATGAACCTATTGCCTCATTTATTAACCTTCCAATTCAACCTCTGGTTTTGTCTGGGACTTGGGCCTTAGGAGGGGTCATAGAGATTGTGAGGCCAACAATGCCATTACCTTGATACAAAAGCTTGAGAGAATGTATTTGGACCCATCGGGTAATTTTTCTTGTGCTTCTTTCTTCCTATCCCTAATCCAGACTAATGATAGCTAGGGCCAACTTTTCCCAATTAATGAGATTTGGAGTAAGCCTATTCCACCTAGGATTGGTCGCTTTTGTTGGGAAGTGATTCTTGGTAGGGGCAATACTTATGACTTGCTCCAAAGGAAAAGACCTAACTGATGCTTTTGTTCTTCCAATTTGGGATTGGTTTCTTTGCTTATTTGGGTGCAGACAAGGTTCAAAGTATCGGATATGCTTAGCGTATTGGGAAGGCAATTTTAAGATACACATCGAGATACGACTTGGATACGCATGCGTATCGGAGAAAAATTATGATATGCATAGAACCAGCCATATCATAGTCAAACATACATGAACATCTAAACAATGTTCATTAAAACTATAATCACATCAATATTTAATAATTCAATTCAACACATGTAACATAATCCAACACAAGATATTAATGTCTAATAATTAAAAAGTATTTGATTTTAATTCATACAAAAAATCAACAAAAAAATCATATTTGAAGAAAAAATATCAAATGATCTATGTATATAATAGATCAGCCATATATTACAATAAAAATAATTAATTAATATTTGTTTTTAATTCTGAAAATTACAAAAAAGATCAACAAAAAAATCATATTTAAAGAAAAATTATCAAATGATATATGGATATGATAGATCAGACATATATTAAGAATATATTCAATCCTTATGGGAAAGTTACAATAAAAAATAATTAATTAGTATTTGTTTTTAATTCTGAAAATTACAAAAAAATCATATTTGAAGAAAAAATATCAAATGATCTATGGATATAATAGACCAGTCATATATTAAGAATATATTCAAGCCTTATGGGCAAATTACAATAAAAAATAAATAATTTATATTTATATTTAATTCTGAAGTTGTAGAAAATTGTGCAAAAAAGTTGTATGGAAGAATTAGGTGAAAAAAGGTTTCTGCATGTTTAATGGGTTAAGGAAACTAGTAGAAATTAATGGTTCCGGGCTTGTTAAGGGTGCTTTGAGGAGATTTTCCTCCATTGTGTTGGGCGGGTCAGGTTTTGCTTGGTCAGATTTGTTTTTGTTATAATTTTTTTTCTGTTCTTTTCTGCGCTGATTTCTCATCACCTAGAGTTGTATGTGATCCTTGTAATGTTAATAATATTTTCTTTTCTATTTATCTTGAAAAAATAAAGTTGAGAAGGAAAACTTTTAGCTGCAGTTTGACTAGAAGAAATACCTCAATGTATAAAGCAATAGAGGTCTTGTTTGAACCACTGGGATCCTTCAAATTGGTTATAGCTTCCAATATAAGATTGTCCAACCTACAAACATGAAAGGAAGCACAACGTCCTGAGAGTCACCATGAATACAAGACACAATGTCTATAATAAATAGTAAACTACCATCCTTAGAATGCTCATATATGACAATAATACTACTGTAGCTGTACAGAATTTCACTTTCACCATTAAAAGGAATACTTGATCCTCCACAGTAAGTAGCATATTCATTAGTAGCAGAGTCTTTAGGTTGTCCTACATCTAGCTGGCTTTTGAAATATCTGGGAATGTCATTAGGAGCCAACCCAAAGGAGGGAAGGTTTTGGAATCCCATTGTAGAAAATAGTGCAAAAAGTTGGTGGTATCTTTCTCTTGGAGGTCTTATCACTTGAGGGATTTCTTGTATAAGCCAGGTGAAGGAAGAAAGGATCATGTGGTTAAGTGGGAACTAGTAATCCCAATTTCAAGTGTAACCTTCCCCTACTTGTGGGTTAGGACTTTCAGCAAACATCGGGTTGTAGCTTTAATTCCCAAAACACTTTTTTTATCAGCAAAACAGAAATGATTCATCAAATTAATAGGATGTGTACAACAAGAAGTTGTGGGTAGACGAAAAGTCCACAGAAATCCCACTAATTACAATACATTCCCAAGCTTAACCCAACAAAGAAATTCATTGATTACAAACAAGCCCCAAAGGACCCAAAGGAAATCCCACCGACTATAACATAGCCCAAAACATAGATTGCCTTTCCATCTTATTTGAATTTCCATGTCTTAAGAAGCCTGCTTAAAGGACCTGAGCTCATTTCTTAACCTCCAGATTGCACTTTCCCCTTTTTTTTCAGCCAGTTTACAACAACTTTTGAGTCCTCTTCAATAATCAATCTGTTAATCCCCAACTCTTTAGCTTTCTCAACACCAAATACTGCTGCCTTCAGTTCTGAATTCACCACATCACCATGCAGAATAGGGCCTAAGAACATGGCAACAATATTTCCATTCTCTTCCCTTATTACCCCACCAATACCTGATGGGTCAAGGTTTACCAAACAGCTACCATCAAAGTTTAGTTTCTTCCACCCAACATCCAGAGGGGACCAAAATTCAGTTACAATAGTTCTTCTAGAAGCAACGTTTGTAATTGTTCCTCATTATCTGGAAAAGTCTTCTGTCTTAAAATCTGCAAACATTTTCAAAGTTTTCACCTAATGTGCCACCCTTATAGTTATCACTTCAATCACAGAATAATCAAATATCCACATATTTCTTTCCTCCCAGATTGTCCAAGCCATTGCTGCTCTAGTGCACCTTCCCATCACTTTGCCTCTCCTTTAGAGCACCTGAATATGTTGGAGCTAAATAGACCTTCTAGATTAGCAGGAGGAATCCAGCTGCAACCAAACAAAGAGGAAAACCACTCCCAAATAAAGTTAGCAAAAGGACAGGAGATAAAGAGATGAAAGGCAGTATCACCATTCAGCATACATAAGGAGCACCAGTTTGGGGACAAGCACCAAATTGATCTTTTTCTCTGAAGCAAGTCACAAGTGTTAATGGAACCATGGAAAACTTCCCAACAGAAAGCACTGGCTTTAGGAGGCATGGGCCAAAACCAACTTTCCTTAACAGGGAAAGAAGGAGAGGAAGAAGTCGCAACAAGAGAGTTCACGAAAGATATGCAAGAAAAAGAACTTGACTGATTGAGGGTCCAAACTCTAGAATCTGAAACACTATCCCCCAAAACCACTGAATTCAACAAGTTAACAAAGGTAGAGACACTAGAAATTTCGGATTGTCTTAGATTTCTAGTGAAACCCAACAAGGGGGAGTCCCCAAGCCAAATGTCCTCCCAGAATCTGATTTTCTGACCCAAAGCCAAGTCATGCCTTATGTGGGGAATAAACAGAGGAAGGATGTCATGGATGGCCTTCCAGGGAACAGCCAAGGTAGCTCTCCGCAAGCAGCACGCATCCCAACCATTTTTTCCCAAAACACTTTTCTAGTGTAATCTTCCCCTCCTAGAACTAGTAAGCCCAATTTCTTGCTAACTTGGAGTCCAGTTTCCACCACCTTTTCCACATTCAACTTTTTCTCTACTTTTCAAACTCTATCAAGCTCCACTCCTTCCTCTTCAGCTTCATCATCTTCCTCTTCTAAACTATCCTCTTCCCCTAACAATGCCCTTTCTTTTGCCAGAGCTTTTTCAGTAAATTCTGCGGGCTTATCTCTTTTGTAACGACAAACTGGAAATAGGTTCAAAAGATTCTCAACAATAAGTCTCTAAGCAAGCAAGTTTTGCCTTCAATTTTTTACTTCTGTACACTCTCTCGAATTTGCTACTTGGGCCTGCGCTTATGAGCCTGTCTTTCAACCTGGAGAAGACTTTAACTCTTACCAACTTGATCACTTACAGTATCCTCTTCAGAAACAACTGATCTCAATATTGAAGTCAAATGAACATCCAAAAGAGAAGCCTCATTTAGTTTTTTTTTTTTTTATGAGTAAGCCTCATCGAGTTCTTGCGAACCAACTTTGTTCCTAATATCTTGAATTTCTGCACCTTGTCATCGCCTAGGCAGCGCCTAGGTGATGGATTTTTTGTATGTAGAAAACATAGATCCTAGGGTAGTTCCCTAGGTATCATAACCACATTTCCTTAATAATTATTTATAATTTTCATAAGAAAAGTATAGAGTTCATGTTAAAGTATAGAAAATCAACATATTAATGAGAAGAAAAAGAAGGAAAAGAAAATTCAAAAAAAAAAATATATAGGGGCTGAACCCTTATTTTTGTTATAGGAAAAGAAAAAAAGAAAAAGTAGTAGTAGTAATAGAAAATGTGTTGATTAGACAAATTTTTAAGTTCTTCCTTACTTATTGGTTCAGGTTTTAAATTCTTTGAGGGTTCAATACAGCATTTAGCAATATTTGTATTGATTAAACCCTAACAAATAAGAAAATAATAAAAAGAAATTAGTATATAAACACACAATGAATATTTTAGTATAATAGCGCCTATTTTATAATTATAATGTCAAAAAACTAAAGAATAAAAAAGTATTTTATAATACATAGTACAAAACTGCTTGACAATTAGGTGAGACGAGCCTCAAAGGGTGCCTTGTCGCCTAGGCGTTGCCTTGACAGCTATGCCCATCACTTTGTCCTCTTGACAAGGTCCAAACCTTTCATGTCCAGGACTCAAAAAGAATGAACTGTTTTCTTGGTTGACCTTTGTTACCACTGATTCCCAAATATCATCAGCTTTCCAGTTCTTTAGTGTGATCAGCTCTCCTATCCTTCATATGATTGCTTTTGAATTTACTCTTAGGGATCGCAAGTCTACGCCTAGTTGAATTGTTGAAACTCAGACATGTCAATTTACCTATCCTGAAATGAGGCTTTCCCTTTGTCTTCCCACCGTGCCCCACACAAGGAAAAGAAGAAAAGACCAAACAAAGGGTCTATCAAAGTAAGAGAGCTTGCACTACTCACATTCTTTTTAAATGAAAAAATTGGCCCAGCCTCAAAAACATTTGGCCCATAGCTTACCGGCCCAAAACTTCTAATACCAGTATGGGTCCCAGCTCTAGGCCCACCAACTTTACACCTTGAGCCTAAAGTATGCCTCATGTGACCACTACTTAGGTTCTCACATGAGCCTATAGTGTCTTTAACTCACCAAGATTTTTGTCCTTGTTCTTCAAAATAGTGGCTTCTCCCTAGTGGTTCAGATGGAGCCATATGCCTTCACACAACCCCTTGTTTGCCTTAGCCTATGTTGGGTCCCATAACGGATCAGATGTGAACTCCTTTTAACAATATCAACAAAAGATGGAAAACCCACACCCAAGGGGCTAAATTCAAATTTATTTTAAATAACTTTCTTTCCCAAGCCTACCTCGACTTTACCCCCTTCAACCGACTATTTAGCTTCTAAAAATGTCTTCACAGTCGGAACAATTTATCTCCCCATTCTTCTTCCACCATGTATCCCTCATATTCCAGCTCATCATCTTCTTCATCCTCCCGGCTCTCTCTTCACAACAATGCTTCAAGTTCCATCATTACCCAAACTTTAGTCCAAAACCCATTAGAGATAACTTCCACCAATTGAGGTACTTTGTCAGGCTTCACTCCAGCGATTTTAACCTTCGCAGCACGAAGATTACTAGTATTAGTCACTACAAGAACGCCACCCAACACTCTTGCAATCATTTCTTAGGCAAATTTCTTCCAAAGATTAAAGGGGGAGTCCAACCAATTCAATCACAAAGGCACCAGTATCCAACTCCTTTCTGTTGCAGGATGAAGACCAGCTCTCAATTAAAACTTCCCCCAAACTAGTTTTCATGGTTCTAAAACCCTGCACATTATCTCCTATGTCCAAAATGGCACTCCTGTTATCAAAAGGAAAGATTGAAACTCTGGTACTGACTTCTAGCTTAGACATAATCGCTTTCAAGATTAATCCCCAATTGGTCACCTCCTTTCTAGACTTGATGATCAACTTTTTCTCCCACCCATCACTGTCATTCTCCAATAGCAACTTCTGCACTTTACTGGAGTTAATAACTGCAAGGTTCTCAAGAGTCTCTGCTTGTCGGCTATCCATAGCAACTCCTCTGCTATCACCTGTCTCACTTGAAGCCCCTAAAGGCTTCAGTTGGATGGCTTTCAAAACTGTACCACCGGTCTCACCCACCTTGTATGCAAACTAATTGTTTTTTGTTACAAGGATCTCATGCAACCATTGGAGATCGCAATATCCCATCGATAATGAGAGATAAGTATGGTCTTGCTGAACTCGGCTAGTAAGGACCATGCATTGTCATCAGAGATTGTGGTATCTCATCAATAATGTGATATATAAGTACTTATTTCAGGACTTGATTAGTGCAAGTACCATGATGAGGTACTCCAAGGAACAGGTGCCTAGAGGCATCCGGATCGAGACATGTAGGTAGCGAAGGCCAGGGAGACTGTGGCATCGTGCTCAATAGTACCTGATACCTTCTAGGACACGTGTTGCCTCCTAAATGGCCCCTAAATACGTGGTTTAGCTGACTTGTAATGCCTTGGGACACGTTCTTGCTCAAGGAAGACATGGAATTTGCTCCTTGCCTGTTCGTTAAAGTGAGAAAGATTCTAGAAAGGTATAAGGCTATGAGCCATGAACATTGCATGTGACCTTCTCCTATAGATAGGAGACTAAGGCCCTTGCAGAAGTACCTCTCTCCAACCTTCAACACCTGGCCCCGATTACCGACTATTCGTGTTTTAATCCCATTTTCAGAGCTCTTGGACTATCCTTATCCTGTTAGCTTACAGAGGCAATAACGAAATAAATTGCATAGTGTGTGTGTGTGTGTGTGTGTGTGTGTGTGTGTGTGTGTAAATATTGCAGTACATTAACTCACAAAAAAGACACATAAAAATCAGGTTAAACAAACTCTAATGTTGGTAGGAGGACCTATGCTTAAAGATAAATTCCCCTCTCTATTCTCTCTCTCATCATATGTCCAAATGGTTTTATATTTGATTGCATGTCCAACTCCCCTCGAGGTGTGGTTTGGAATCTGGGTTTGAGACGAGGGCTTAGGGACTTTGAAACCCCACAAGCATTGCCCTTACTCCTTAATTTAATCCTTAAAAGAAGTTTTCTTTGATCCCTCTAAACAAGACTCACCCTCAGCTCCACCAGTTTATTCTCTTGTGCCCCATTCTCTGTCGGCCTCACCTCCAACCACTCCCTCAACTATTGCAAACCTATTAAGGTCATTTTGTGAGGGCCAGTACTACCGAGGATCAAGCACTCTGTCGACAGTTTTTTCATAGCAAAATAAACATGTGTTGGACTTGCTAATCTCCTGCAATTTGTCTCTGCTATTTGCTAACATATTTTCTCATTGTTTGGGTGCAGGTGGTCTCCTCTGAATGGCCTTAAAAACCTGTATGATGCTTTATTCTTCCTTCCTATCTTCAATGACAAAGAAAATGGATTGAGGAAAATCATTGATAATATCTATATCAAGGTGCCACATCAGTCAGAACCATGGAGCTCCTTGCACTGTACACAATAGATGATCATCAAAAATTGGAAAAAAGTTGCTGATTCTGCCACACCCAGAACATGAGTACATGATGAATGGTGTCCACCACAACAGCCCCCTTACATTAGGCTGAACTTTGACAGTTGCAGCATATGCAACCCTGGACCATCAAGACTATGATGAGTGATTAGAAACCACATGGGAGATATTATGGTTATCTAGTCTGCACCTATTGGTGTTAAGGATTCAATTGGGAAAAACTTAAGGCTATTCTAACATATATTAAAAGGGATAAGCTTATGAGGTGCAGAAATATAACTGTCAAAGGGGATTAAAGGTTATAACAGGTTGGCTGGGAAGCAATGAGGAGGATCCTTGGATGCACGGATATGAGATCAGAGAAGCTAAAGAACTAATGAAGGGATTGGGATCAGTCAAGTGGATCCCTAGGTCTACCAAGAGTTTAGCAGATGGGTTGGCTAAATAGGGGGTGACAAAGAATAAGTTGTCTTGGGAATTGTAATCAATACTGAAAATTCAGAACGATGGTTAGCTGAGGTCGGCAATCCGATGACTGCTATGTGCATTAACTTTCATTCCAATTAATACAATTTTTACAGTTACTGATTTTAAAAAGAAGGGGAAAAAACTCCAATGCAGCGTCCAAAATATTTTTGCCATAAGATATCCTTCACCACTCTAACAGTTCTTTTATTTAGAAATTTTCCATCACTAAAATATAAATAACGACATACTTATTTTTAGATAGAAATCCAGATGAATTGAAGATATTAAATAGCACAAAAACCATACAAATGGTCATAATGCATTCTAAAGATCAGTGTTATTTTTGTGCAGATCGTCATCCCACATATACAATGATGTGGCTAAGAATTCTGATTTCTAGGGTCAATAATTGTGAATTCATCCAACAAAATTCAGGATATAGGAGAAGCCAAATAGTTAGCATTACAACCTTGCAGGCAAGGTCATCTCAAAGAGGGCTGGATATAATGGTTCAATTGTTAATGATATATACAATTACACATTTATCTAGGTTAGAATAGAAATCTAAAGGTGTTAAGTAATTCTATACTTAAAATAGAAAGTATCGGCTAAATGGATGAAGTTAGGTAAAAAAAATATCTATTTAGAAGGGCATTGAGATTGCATGCAATTGTAGACTACAAGATAGATAAACTACGGTTGAAAGATGAAAGTAAGTACCATAGTTTAAGGTGCCAAGGCGAGGCTAGGTGATGGGGGCGGGGCACCGGGGCACCTTGTTGCCTAGGCACACTATGAATCCTATAGAAATTCCCTAGGTTCCATAGCTAGCCACAACCATCTTTCGCTAGTAAATGTCTATAATCTTTATAAAAAAAAATGTACGAAATTCATTTAAAACATACAAAACTAACAGATTCATGAAAAAATTGGAAGAAAGAATAGAAATTTCAGAAACTAGCAAGGCTGAGCCCCTATTTTTGTCCTAGGAAAAGAAGAAAAGAAAGGATGAAAGGAAGAAAATTAATTAATATTTGTTGAACTGGACAAAATTTTGAGTTCTTCCTCACTTATCAGCTCAGGTTTTGAAGTCCTCAAGGGTTCAATACAGCATACATTTTGATTGAACCCTAACAAAAGGAAAATAATAAAAAAACTAATACTTTAACTCACAAACAGAACAACTAAGCTTAAAATGTTTCTTTTAATATTATAAATATCAGAAAATTAATACAAAAGTATATATTAGCACCATGTATAAAATACCTTGGTGATTAAGTGAAGCAACCTTCCATGAGCGCCTTGTCATCTAGGCATTGCCTTGACAACTATGATAAATAATTAACTGAAGTTGAACAATTTGTTCATAGGGAGGTACCCTATTCTATCTTGAAATGACCTTTTCCCACCTTATTCTTCTAATTCTTCCTTCTATTTTTCATGATTTAATTCAATCTTAGAAACATCAAATCATCAACCAATTAAATCTAATAAAGCTTAAACATTAATTTCCATCAATATTTGAAACAGAAAGGCACCTAAAAGTTCCAGTAGAACAAACATCAACTAATTAATATCAAATATTAAGTCCACCAATATTTACATGCAACAGCTTGAATCAAACTAGTAGCTAAAACACAATTCAGGAAATTAGAAGCAAGTCTACCTTGACAATATTGATCTTTTGGGGCCATCAATCTGCAACGCTCCACCAGAGATTGCAAGGGGCTTGACATCAACAATTTCCTCATCGCTTCGAACTACTGTACTAAGAGCCATTGGGTTATCATCATATTTAGGGATCTGTTGACTCCTTTTAAGTGCTAACCGAGCTTTCTCCCTAGATCCCCAACCATTTGCCGTCACACTCATATTCCTCCACTTGTCCTATGCGTAGTCAGACCACAGATATTAATTCCCATATTAATATACTCTAAATACTACAATTGATGTTATCAGGGAATTGATGTTTTCACTATATTACAATATTGATTATTGAAACCACCCAACATTGTCAAGTTCTACAATACAAAAATGGAAACTCATTCAGCATCAAATCTGGAAGAATTAAAGAATTGAAGTTCTCATGGTGCATACAACTAGCTTCTCTTTCTTTTTTTTTTCCTTGTTTCTGGTGGGGTGGGGGTCTGTGGGTTGCTAGATAAGGCGTGTGATTTTAGCAACCAGACTCATTAGAATGGGCTTGGCCGCCATAGTTTTCTCTATATCATGAAACCAGAAATCTATTGAACATGTCCAGCTCCAGCATTGATGTACAGTAATTACTCAGATTATTTTAGCAGGCAATTGATATTTTATCGACATCATGTAAACTACCCACCATTCAACCAGATCAAACTCTACCAAAAAAAATTCTAAAAGCGAAACCAAAAAATTGTTAAGCATCCACTCTCTGAGAAGAACTAGCTTTAGTTTCAGACATTTGAAGAGGCAAATACCTTGAGATCAACATTTGAACGCAAAGACAAGACACCGCTGAATTCTGGGTCTTTGAGTATTGTGCGCCATTTGCCTGCCCCATGCTTTAATACTCCGGCCTTAAGGGCCGCTTCTTCTTCTGCAGTCCACTTCTGCTTTGGAGCACCCATTAACAGGAGCCCCCCAAAATCGTTCAACAAGAATCTAAATTGCCAAACCGAATCTGCTGTATCATCACAAAACCCCAGAAGCAAAAAAGTAAATCACAAAACACCACTTGGAAAATTTATCCAAAAATGATCCATAAATTAAACGATGCCAACGGAATTGACATCAACATACCTTTTCATTTATCAATGGTGGAGGAAAATTTTAGTCTAACTGCATATCAGGATGTAAATGTTAGCCTGTTTAATTCGATGAGTTCGCTTCTTGGGGGCTTAGGAAGACGGAGACGCTTCGATTGTGGCAGATAAGAGATGGGTTTTCGGTCAGGCTTCGAAGGCGGAGGACGAAGAAAGGAGAAATCCTTCTACGACAACATTCGGTCAGACGGTTTAGAGTGCTTCCCCGGAAGTAACCCCAAATGACAATCAAGTGAGGAGAATAGAGGGGGGCTTCAGGCCTGTTCCTTCAGATGAATCAGTGTGCGAAATCTTTGAATGAGGCAGGAAACCTTCAACTCGCGTTTAAGGGTGGTTACCTCGTACCGAGAGGCATTTGGTTGAGCTTTTGTTTTTAACAAGTGCCTGTTTGGGAGGGTTGTCACTTTTTGACGCAGTGGTGGCTTCTGGCTTTACAAGGTGGGCCCCACACGGAAAGCCGCTCAATCAAAACCAATAGCACATTTGATTTACGGTCAGTTTGTTGCATTCGGAAAGTCGATAATTTTTTGGGTAAATCTCTTAAACTATCCTACTGATCACGAAATTGATAAATTGTTCGTTTATTATTTAGATATTTAAGCTACCCTTAATTTTTTGACAATCGACACGCTTTTAAATACTAACAAAAAAATGAAATATCGAATTTATCCTTCACTATTCATCAAAATTTCAAAATAAAACTCAACTTACTATATAGACTAGTTCATTTTGCCCTTGTTCACTACTCGATAAACATGATTCTATTCTCAGCAGCCTCTTCTCAATGACCTCAAGTAAGGATATTATAAGTGCTTAAACTTGAAAGCAATGTTGTTTCTTTCACTGAGAATTCTTGTGGCGGGGGTTGAGAGCATATGAGCAAGCTCTAAAGCTGGTCAAGGTTCTTGGTTATGAGACCGAGTTTTCCACCTATTTTGGCCAATAAACCAAGCCGCCACAACTTCGAGAGCCTTTTTGTAAGAGAAGTTCAGAATTCGGGAGCAGGGCAAACATGTTGGCCGCTCCTTCACTGTCCTTTTAGTAGCGGCGAGTTGGTGAACACTGCCACTTCTCCTTCACTATCTGCCACTGCTACTTACCAATGGTTGACGAGTTGGTGAATGATGATGCGCAATCCGGCTGGTCTTAGCTGTCAACGACCTTGCCTTTGAATTGAGTAACTGGGGACCTGAAACGGGGGAGATGAAGAAGCTCCGGGGAGAACCCGGTGTAGAGGCTCCGAAGCTCAAGTTAGAATCCTTTAAAGGTAAGATAAACCAGACAGCGCAAAGTTTGCATACCTCGTTCTTGGGAGGTAGGGAGCCTTTTATAACCACCTCGCGCACTCACTTCCAGGCTTCTGTCAGATCG